AAAGTTTTGTTTGTGTATTTTTGGGAGGCCATAAATACTGGGGATGGTGTCTCCTGGGTAAAGTTTGTAATATAGTGATTTTTCAATAATGCCCTCTTTCATTAAGTTCTGAAGGAAGTCTATAATCTTTTTCCTAAACCCACTGGTAGGGTCCCTCTTCAATGGCTGGTACGTGTTGGTGTCCAAGAGTAACTGATTAACTTTGGCCTCATAGTCTGAGCTGTTGAGGATAACTGTGCATCTGCCTTTGTCAGCTGGTAAAATAGTTATATTCTCATCCTTTTGTAATGCCAATAATGCTTTTTGCTCATCTAATGAGACATTGGATTGTGGGGGCTTCGCACTTTTGAGTGTGGCAGAGACTCTCAGTCTGAGGGCCCCTGCCTCACTCTCAGTTAGTTTGTTGTTTCTAATGGCTGCTTCTGCTGCTGTGATGTATTCAATTGTAGGAATATCTTTTGGGGTTATTGCAAAATTTAGGCCTTTAGTAAGAACATCTTTTTCCGCTTGTGATAAATGCCGATCAGACAGATTTTTGACCCAATTCTCCCTGTCCAAGCCTTGTCCAATTTCACTTTTAGAATGTTGAAAAGAATTATGGTTTTGGAGTTTTAGAAATTTGCCTATCTGACGTTCTTTGGCCTTCTTGTGATGGTTTAGTTGGGCAGTTTCCGTAAACGTCCAAATCCTCTGAAAAAACTCTGGTGAGACTGCCAATTCCAGTTTGTGCTTAAGGCCCTCTATCTCGTCCTTTAGGTTTATAATCTCTATGTTAAGTCGTCGAATTCTTAAATTGAGAATCTTCATACAGTAGTTTTGTTGTATTTTTCTTGCCAACTGGCCTGTTTCTAATGCTTTTTGCTTTAATTCCCGAGAATTCATTCCCTGAAGAAGTCCCCAGGTTGAGGACGAAACGTCGGGAAAACTTGCTAAGAAGTACAGATGATGGGTGAGAAACCTTCCTTTGCTTTGACTAATCCCTGTACGACTGAGGGCTTACACAAACATATTACTTAGTTACTTTTTAATACTGCATAATGATTAGAAGAGACAGAGAATTAGTGTAAAAACAGATATCTCTATTTTGAAAACATTTCTAACAGTTGTATTCAGGTATCTATACACTTTTTTTACTGGTGTTAATTTTGAAATATTTCACAAAGACGTATAACTTTATTTTTAAACTGTATCACAGACACAAGGTCTAGAGAAAAAGATATGTCACAAAAAACCCCAAAAATATACATACATATTTACAGCAGACTATACTGTGACACCAGTGATGTCACAGTTCAGACTATTTTTATGACACTAAAATAGATCTGGTCATTCGAAAAAATACTTGGTTTAGAGAAAAGGCAAAGGTTACTCTAATTTCTGCAAATAATCTAATCATGTGACATCACCTTGTCCTGAAACAACAAAATCCTGCTTCTCACTTTTGTAGCCCTCCACAACCTCGGACTTCAACATCTCTCTGCGCTCCTCCACATCCGCACACCTGCCCGCTCCTCTTCCTCTTCCTCATCCTCCTCCTCCTCCTCCTCCCTCTGCTCCCCAGCTCTGAACACCCTTCCCCCTGACCTCCGCAGCACTGTCCCTCTCCCACATTTCCAAACTCATGTTTTCAGACCAGGCCTATTCACTATGAGCCTACATTCCACTGTTCATTCTTAACTGTTTTTGTCTTGTACTTTTTTTTGTAAGGCGGCCTTGAGTGTCCAGAAAGGCGCCATGTAAAGAATATGTATTATTATTATTATTATAAGTGTGCCATACTGCTATGACCATGAGCCCCATTTGCACCTACTCTACTCTACTCTGCTTGACTCTACTTTCACCTCATTCTACTTTCTGAGTACCTGCTTTGTCCTGGTTCTATCCAGACCGAGCTGGTACGAAAGTGTTTTAACTGACAGAGATTGGGCAGATTGGGCTTGGTTACTAACAAATTTCCCTGGATCCTGGTTTGTTGTGGGTCTGTTTCGATACGGTGCAGATACTAAAGCATAATACAAATGTAACCAAGAATAGAGTTTATAGTAGAGTTATAGTAGAGTGGAGTAAGCTGGACTAAAAACGGGGCTCAGATGGAGATGAATAAGCAGTGTTTTAATGAGGGAACAATGTTGTAGATGATCAAACGCACAAAAAGGAATATTCTGCGTAACATGGGTCCAGTGAAGTGCTCTGGAGGTGTTGTCTTAATCAAATATGTAGCCTTTTATGACTGATGTGCCAAAATAACAGATAATTCCCGTATTATGTCTATTGATTTCATATTGTGTGTTTTAAAGCAGGGGCCTCCAACCTCTTTTCCATTCAGAGCTACTCTTTCAAGAAAAAAATGGCGGTTCAAAAGAAATTGAGTCAATGTGTGATGATGAAGTGCCTTGGTTGGTGTAAGAGACCCATTTGGCAATCCAATCCAATTTTCATTTATTAGCCAACAAAGTTAAAGACAGTTTTTATATCCCGGTTCGCCTTTCACAGCCTTGCTTTTTCTTTTCTTTTTTTCTTTTCAGGTGTTGTGTGAATAGTAGATCCTCCAGTACAACATGTCAGTCATTCAAACTCAGAAAAAAAGGATTTCCTGTGGCCCTCGATTTTCCAGTGTATGCACGGCTTTTGACAGCTGCAGCAGCACTTCAGCAGTCTCAGGTGGATAGAAAAGCGTATTCAATTTCAAGGTCCTAAATCACAACAATCTTGGAGGACTTTACAAAACCGTTGATTCGCCAACACAGGTCAGAGAATCAAACACAAGAAATGCAATGATCAAAAAACACGCAGAGCCATTGGTCCATAAGAGGCGGATCATCAACGTCCATAAATGTAGATAGAGACCATTCACGTTGTTGAATGTCGAGTGTCCTGGATCATCACCACTGTCCTTAGACCCTCCTGCATCGACAAGGAAACACACTAAAACCCAGTGGGAGAAGATGGGAGAAACCTTGAAGCGTGTGGTGAGGGTTACAGCCTTAAAACAAACAGCCACTACTTCCTTGAATTCAATTACTCCGGGTTATTTTTAGAACGTAACCCCCTCTATGTAAGAGAGACCACTGTATGGACAATAGTTGTGGGCAAAGATGCAATTTCAAATATTTAGACCAGGTTTTTGATACGTCGAAATGCTCTGGAGAGGGGATGGCGAGCTACTGGTTGGAGCTAAAGGTTGGAGACCCCTGTTTTAGAAGGATGCAAACACATGTATAGCCTCTGTGTCTTGTTTACCAATTATTTGAAATCGTCCTGTGCTTTCACTTCTTACTCCCCTCTCACACGTTCGTCTGTGTGTGTCTCACTGTACGTACAAACCTCTGCTCTCTGACAATCAGCGTGCTGCGTATATAAAGTTACAGATATATAAATAAATATTACACCTCTGAATAAGCTGTGTACGTGCTGCCGCGGTGTGTTTTTTCTTCAGCCTGCCTTTGTGCTGGTCTCTGCTTACCCTGCACATAACCTCCGTGATGCCTCAGCAGCCCCTCCAGCCTCCGCTCTGTGTACACTTAGCACATTTAGACACGCTCCAGTCCCAGCTTTCAACCTGCACAAAAAACACCGCCCTTTTACGAGCTCATGTACAAGGACTGACCAGTGCTGGGAGGAACCATTTTTATTTTTTATTTTTTATTTTAACAGTATTAATTCTGCTCTATACATTTAAACTTTTCATTTCACAATAAAATACAGACCAAGGACAGAAAAGCACACAAACGCTACATCTACACATCCTGGATTAAGGAAAAATCCACAAAAGGTCATGACCATACCTGAATGTGAAAGCCAGATTCTGACAGACCTCTGAAGCTGTGCAGGGCAGGGCCTGGTCATTACTGTGATGGGAGACCTGCGGCTCCCCCACTGTGGCAAAGTGTCCTTAGGGAAGACACCTCACTCACATTGCCAAGAATGAGTCTGATGTGTGTGTGAATGGTTGATGGTGGTCAGAGGGGCCAATGACACATACTGGTTGCCTCTATTCTGTTAGTGTGCACCAGGGCAGCTGTGGCTACAGGAGTAGTTTATCACCACCGTGAGAGTGAGTGAATTATCACGTGTGAAGCATTAATTATTTTTATTATTATTATCCTATAATTGGCAATGTCTTAACATTAGCCTCACTGACCAGAGAGAAAGAGAGAGAGAGAGAGACCAGAGAGATCCATGAGAGATACATATTGATTGACATTTAACAGAAATAGATACAAGCATGAACTCAGCACAGCTACATTAGTGTCATATTTTGATAATTAAGTTAACAACTCGATTCTAGAGGTTCAGATCTTTACAGTGGCGTTTAACTTTCTTATTGGTAAAGCTGAAGTTGGCTGGATGACACTGTGAACACATATTTATGATCTCCAAGTCGGAGAGTCGGATGTAATCTGTGATCACAGCTGCATATGAAGTCAAACTTAAACTTGACCTTTGAAAGACGTTCTCGGTACATTCTCTCAGGTCTGGTCAGAAGAAGGCTTTCACTTTCATGTCACACTCACAGCATTACCCACAATTATCATCATTAGTATTATATTAATATGATGTTGTTACGACCAGAACAATCACGACAAATGAACGACATCCCTACAAAACCAAGTCACACACACAACAGAATCAGGCGCACACAATCAGTGGCTGCAGCAGAAGATGTTCTTAAAGCAGCAGTCCACACATGTCTGCTCTGCAGCTGTGCGCGCCGTGACTGGACACGACATGACGCTGATATTAGTGCCGCGCCCGTGGTCACAGTGTGTGCATCCAGCTGAGCACTGAAGAGGGAGAACAGAGACGAGAGAGGAGAGAGAAGAGAGGAGAGGAGAGAGGAGAGGAGAGCAGTGCATGTGCGTGAGCAGCAGCAGCAGCAGCAGCACAGCCGCCTGTAGCGCCACTGCAGCGCGCCTCTCCTCTGGACCAGCTCCGCGTCTGCGTGCGTGTGCGTGCGTGCGTGCACCGGGCAGAACAGCTTCTCCAGCCACAGGAGCACCATGAAGCCCTGGCTGCTCGTCGGTCTCTTGGCTATATGGTAAGATATTTCTGTGTCTATAATAGAAATGCTGTTTGTCTTTTGCCGGTACCTGTCACTCACGCTGCTCCTCAGCGCGACCTAAAGCCCTGGTGGCGAGTGCATTGCGGCTGCTGTGTTATTAGCCAGGTCGGTGTTAGAAGCTGTGACCGACATGTCGAGGTTCTCTTTCAGCGTTTGCCAAGTGCATTGGACAGAGTCCTTTCTCCTCAGGCGAGTATGGAGCCACACTGCGTCTGTAACCGCAGCATCACATTAGCCTGGGCCAGGATCAAACATCCCCAGTGTCTGTGGACAATCATAACCTGCCTTTGTCTCTGGAGACACACACAGTGAAGGGCAGGATTTACACCGCCCTACACAGAGCTTTTACAAATGTTTCTAAAACCTCTACATCTGCTTCTGTTTTATTTATTCCATGTAATATTTCAGGTGTGGGCTGTCATACTGTTTCAGACTGAAAATGTCACACAGTGAGAATGAGAATATTTCTATAAAAGAATGATACTCAGCACAGTAATAAAACAGAGTGATGTGACTCTTGGCCCCTGGAGAAATCCTGAAGGATTGAGTGAAAGGCTTCTCTCCAGAGAAAGCAGCTGATTCCCTGTTGTCAGTATCCGCAGCCTCTGTTCACTGAGCTCACGTTCACAAGGTGACTGTTGTTTTTCCCCAGTTGTGTTTCCCGGTGCAGATGCTGAGCCTCTGCTCTCTGGAGCTCATTCACGCAGTCCTCTGTTTGTGACTGCTGTGATAGATGATGAAGGCTATAGCAGCATAAATAACCTCTGATGTATTGGCTGCTCACAGGACAGACCTGGGCTCCAGTAAACAGGAGGACGAGGACTATGAAGATGTCCCCATTAACAAGACGTGGGTGTTATCTCCTAAAGTCTATGAGAGCGATGTCACTCTGATCCTCAATAAACTGCTGCTAGGCTATGACAACAAGCTGAGGCCCGATATCGGAGGTAAGTGCTCCTTCAAATACCAACAAAGACTTGGTGAATATCTGTAACAGGATCCACTGTTCTAGTGAGGCCCACGGTGATTGAAACAGCGGTGTACGTGAACAGCATTGGGCCTGTGGACCCCATCAACATGGTGAGGTTGCACAATCACAATACACCTTTTACATTGTAACGTTTTTACAACAAAAACATATTCAAAAGCCAGAAAAGAGATTGCTGCTGAGATCTACAGTTTGACTATAGCTTTGGCTGCATCTAAATTCAGAAAAAATCTTACTTCTACTTGTGTTTTTATGAGATGGGGTAGCTCCAGGTTGGCAATGTTACGTCTTCTTAAGTTGTTATTAACCTAGGTCACCTAAGTCACATTTTAAGCCAAAAAGCTAGAAGGAAGGAGGTATTTTTCCGTATTTTGAAAGCAGCCATATAGAAACCAAAATGTACACACAGTAAATTATTCAGTTAATTAATTAGTATTTAGCACAGTTTTGACCACACTATAAGCAATTATTCATAATTATGGATGGATTTCATGATGGCTGTGGGTGGAAAAAGCTCTGTCCCTGTAGTCACAAACTCCCATCTGGGCCCAAAGCAAAAAAGTACAAAGGGAGATTTCCACAAACATGAATTGCCAATTAAAGCCAATTCTGTTTTTGCGATCCATAAAAGCAGAAATTACTCTATTTTTATATTTACAATTTTTGGAGACATAAAAATCATTAATTCAATTCATTTCAATGTGTTTGCGTATATACAGCGGTCGTCTGAGGACTTTACAAAGTTGTCTATTTGCCACTGTCTGTTTGTCCTTAGACCCTCCTGCATCTGCAAGGACCAACTCAAAAACTCCTGTATTGACATATTTAACCGTGGCCCTCAGACTCCTCCATATCTTACCTCTGTACATTATCTAGAAGTGATCATTTATGTGATCCTTCATTTGCCGGACAGGGTGGTGCAGTGGCGTAGATTTCCTCTGGGTGCTCCGGTTGCCCTTACCACTAAAACATGTACAATGAATTTAACAAAAGGGAATGGACTGTGGATTGAAAATACCAGTAGACCAGAATTGTAGAACCTTGGTCTGTGAAACTGTGGACTTTTACATGGTGTTTTTTTCTATTCCCTGCTAACATCTCGCGTTCCAGGAGTACACCATCGACATCTTCTTCGCACAGACGTGGTACGACAGCCGCCTCAAGTTCAACAGCAGCATGAAGCAGCTGATGCTCAACAGTAACATGGTTGGAAAGATCTGGATCCCGGACACTTTCTTTAGGAACTCGCGCAAGTCGGATGCTCACTGGATCACCACCCCCAACCGCCTGCTGCGCCTGTGGAGCAACGGCCGCGTCATGTACACGCTGAGGTATACTCAACACCTGTGTACTCAACACCTGTGTACTCAACACCTGTGTACTCTCTTTACAATGTGACACGGGTTTGTGCGGCAATAGTGTGTTTTTTTTCAAGGTTAAAATAGAGAAAAGAAACCATTGGAAGACTTTTTTTTTCCTGATAGTTAGATGGCAGCTGTCGAAGCGCTTTGACTTGTTTTACAAAAATAAACAACAAATTATTGAATAATTACAGAACATGTATTAGTTATTTGAAAACATATTAGGGTTGTGATCTTAAATATTTTGAAGTTTACCTGAATATTTTTTGGAAATGAACAATAATTTACAATAAATAAAAATAATACAAAACAATTGTAATTCAAGTGTAAATAAAAGTATTCATAATACAGGCACTACAATTTCCAAAGTAATGGACTACTATAAAAAATTTATTTCAATTATTGTATTCAGTATTCTGTAACAGTAAAAAGTAATGCTTATGGCATTACTGTGCGTGTCCATATTTACCATTGTCTTATTGTGCTAGTGTGTGTCGCAGAAAAGAAAAAAGTACTGGAAGTTACAAATGAGTTGTTAAAGAAACCAATACACTACACTCCTTCAAAAATACAACAATACAATCATGCAAATAGCTTTTGAACGGATTTAAAGTTAGATTTTTATGAAAGAAAGAAACGTATTGTTTCTTTTTTGCGTCTGTCATTCCTTCATTGGAGCCAGTGCCAAATCTCGGTTAATGTTCAAGAGAGGCGTCTGGCTAAGATTGCAAACACAGGCTACATCTGAAGTGCAGTTAAGTTTGTTCTGTAAAAAAACATCATTCTAGGCAAGGCAAGTTTATCTGCTTTGCACAGCTCATACACAAGGCAACTCAATGTGGTAAACAAAACAAGAACATTAAAAAGGCATTCGAATCATAGATAATCAAACCATGTCTGTACAGACTGTTTTTAATTTGAACATTGTCAGAGTAGAAGCTTGTCTCATCTCCTGCTAACATGTCCTGTAGTTTCATCACTTATTAATTCAATATTCTTGCACTAGAGTGTATTACATATGAATCTATATTTTTATACATACAAGTTTATAATTCTTTGCACTACTTAATTTCTGTGTTCAGCTAAAGACAGAGATGTGTGCTTCACTTATTGTGTGCTTCTCATTCCTACTGTTCTGTGATTTCCTCACTGTGGAACCAACAAAGGATATCTCTTCATCTTATCAATGGTTACTGGGAAGTATTTAAAGTATGTTAAGAAAATATGAAAGATAGCAACAAGCTCAGTTTACTCTGATCGGGGAATGACACTAAGACAAGATAAACTTTATTGATCTCACAATGGAGAGATTTACTTCGAGCATCACATGAGTTTTGGTTTTTGTTTACTGTGCTGCTGGTGCCTATGCCACATCTGCCAACCAGGAAGACACGTCAGAAACTTTAGCATTGACAACAGCACACTTTTAACAATTTTAACTGTGTTTTTAAGAGAAATGTGTTGTCTGTTTGTTCATGTACACATTTAGATTTGTCCTGTCCTAATCGTATGTTGTCATTCTAAGAGTACTTTCTCTGTGTCACAATTCTGTCTTTGTCAGGTTGACTATAAATGCTGAATGCTACCTTAAGCTGCATAACTTTCCAATGGATGAGCACTCGTGTCCACTGGAGTTTTCAAGCTGTAGGTGCTCTCGTAATTTTCCTTTCCATGTGTGATATTCCGTATGCTCCTTAAACGCCACATCGAAGGCCCTGTTTACATGGAGACGTAGCCAACCATTTGCAAAAACGACCTTGTTCCGGATTTGAGGTGCAAAGCGTCTACGAAAACAATGTAGTTCTAGGGCTCGGCCAGTAGTGGGCAGTGTAACCACTTCCTCATCAACGTCCTCCTCAGGCCACCGCAAAGACGGAAAAGAATGCACCGACATCATTCTGCATTTAACAGAAGCAGCAAAAAGTGTAAACTGCAACTTCAGCTTTGCGTGGTTTTGTTTTGATGGATGAAGTAGAATAACTCATCAGTGTAACGCTATAACACACATAAGATAAGACAAACTTTATTAAGGGAGATCTGCTGTGCTACACAGATCTGCTTGAATGACAGGAAAACACATAGACAGAAGTGGAGTAGTGCTTTGAAGTCTTTGTTTGGTCCAATCTCCTGGATTTAAAAATTAAATAGTTCATACGGTTTTAGAATGTATTCATCATTAGTGAATACACACAGCACAAGTTGATCCGCCGCTATTGTTGTTTATGCTAGTACTCGGCTACTGCGCATGTCCAAATGTGGTGAGCCAGAGAGTTGGAACCTTTTTGCTCACACGGCTGCGATACAGCCCCCCACGGGCAGCGCAGCCGGTTTGTTTCTCTCTGGAGGTTTTTCAAAGCTTCCATCGTCACGCCTGCGAAACACACCGTGTGAAGGAAAGGCAAATTCGCGAACCAATTCTATCATCTTTCTGTCACAGCGTCTCAGTGTAAACAGGGCCTCAGTCTCTGCTGCTCTGCCCAGAGGGGGAGGCTCCCTGGGCCAGTGCATCGGGTCTCTCTGCTCTCCCTCATGGTCCATCATCTGCTTGCGATCGCCTTCTCTTCCTCCGCACGTTCCCATCGCAGCCGCAGAGAAGAGATCACCTTCGGACCGGACTCCAAAAAACGGCTGAACTCTGAGCCCAGTGGTCCCTGATCCGTGTCCGTGTCACCCCCCATCTCTCACCGGTCTTGTGCTTCTTGCATCATGTCAATTTCTTCACAGATCGTCCATTTGTAGATAATTACATTTCTTGACAGAAAAGTGCAGCTTCTCAAATTTGCTTTATATGGACATCACTTTTTTTGAATGCGACAAGAGATAATGAAACTTAATTGCGTTTTTGTCAGATTCTCTAACTTACTTGCAAGCTTTTACAAATATAGCAACTTCCAAATAGCTTTAGCAACTTCTTTATTTGTAAATAATGTGTACTATACTATGGGGCTGGGACAAGCTTTCTCCATAAAAGGTCCCACGAGATTACACACAAGGCAAAGCAGGTTTAGTTGTAAAGCACAGTACATACACAAGGCAACTCAAAGTTCTTCACAAAACTAGACAGGTCATCCACACAATCCTTCAGTTGTTTGCACAGCTAACTCTTTTCAACCTGGATTCAATTTGTTTTTAAAATTTCAAACATGTGTACGTTTAACATAACACAAGCAAGATACAAAATACACATAAATACACAGTTTTATTTGGCTCCAAACCCTATAATGTGCATTTGAATAGGCCAAAAAGCTAGTACTGACACCACAGTCGTGTTAGCTTTAATGCTTAAAGTGGTTCTCACCCCCGCTCCTCGGAGCTTACGTCACTCACATTTCCTGTTCAAATCTTCCTCTAAATGGGCGTGGCCTGGAGGACTAAAGGGGGCGTGAACGAGACTGGGCCGTTTATATAGCTCTGGGCGGGGGGCTGCTGACGTCAGGTCTTGCTTCAGACGTCAGGTCTTGCTTCAGACGTCAGGTCTTGATGCCGCGCCAGTGTTGGCGCCAGATTCAAAATTCAAATGTAGTAATACAGGTCGCCAGCAGATGGCGCCTCACAGACGGTTTTAGGCAGAAAGCTTTCAACTAATTTGCACCAAACTGACAAAATTAGGACCAGGATATGTAGACAACACTATTGGACACTCATTTATATTGTTTATCAGCAAAAAAAAGTGGATTTGAGGGTGAGTTGTCCTTTAAGCCAATTTCCTTATATGGCCATTTTTTCTGATAACGTTAGCTTTGCGCCACAACAGGGACAGACGTGTTGCCAAGATGGTTGCTAAAGCTAGTTGAGATTGAGAGTCTCATCATAAGATTACAATAGCTTAATTTCTCCCCACCAGATCCTGTTCTTGTCTCGTCTTATGGATGGTCTGTCTTGTCCCATCTCTCATGAATACACTGTGATTTGTTAAAGTGAAAGTCAGAGAAATGTTGAAGTTGAAAATACTACTTTTGAACTCAAGCGCCAGTTAGACCCGCCCCCAAAGCTTCCTGATTGGACTCAGAAATCAACCCCTGGATAGACTGCTGAGGCTGAGACTACTTTCTGAACTGTTAAGCACACCTGATCTGGGGACTGGTCCTGGGCTGGTTCAGGTTCGAATCAGATTGGTCTTCAATCTGAGAACTGGACTTCCTAGTTCCAGTCAGGACCAGATCCACAGCTGCAGAGATAGCCTTCTATAACATATGAATCATAATCCCATGTTTAATACCTATGTTCCTGTTTCACGGAGAGAGTGACCTCAGTAGGACATGATTCGACCTTAATCCTAGACATTCTTTTTGCTCTGCCTGCCGTGTCATTGAACTAATGCGATGTCCATTAAAGTGAGTTTGAGGCCAGAGCCATGAGAACCCGGTACTTTATTTAGAGCTGTTTACACACATTTAATTTGGAAGAAGATTTTGTTGTTGTTTTGCATGACTCTCTATACATTTTCATGTTAATACAATATGCACAATACCAAAAACAATCATCTGTTTGTGTTCCTTTGAATTGGTTTCAATAAGTACAGGTGAAACTCAGAAAATTCGAATATCGTTCAAAAGTCTGTTTACTTCTGTAATCCAATTTACAATGTGAAACTAATATATCGGTACAAGCAAAAAGTGAGATATATTAAGCATTTGTTTTTGTTATAATGTTTATAATTGGTTCCCTGCTTGTAAAAACCCCCATATAAAATATCTCAGAAATCTGAATATTTTGATAATGGACTGTATGCCATAGTCATCAAAATTATAACAAACAGAAGCTTGGCATATGTCACTCTGCTTGTAATGAGTCTATATCATATATTCGTTTCAGCGCATGGTCTGTGTGGAGTTTTCATGTTCTCCCTGTGTCTTGGGTTTCCTCCAGGTCCTCCAGTTTCTCCTACTACTTACTAAAAACATGTACAATAGGTCTGAATATAATATGTGAGTAATAGTGGTGGATGGAGGCTTCGAAAATGATCTATTCACCTCAATTTCTTTTTGTATAGCCCTAAATCACAACAGTAGTTATCTCGGAGGACTTTTCAAAGATATTGTTTGGACAACACAAAACAGTTCAAACACAAGAAATACAACAATAAAAAACACATAGTAGGTAAGTAATGTTTATTTATATAGCGCATTTTACAGACCAAGGTCACCCAAAGCACTTTACAATGTTCAGAGTTCAGATATTGTTCCATTCTCTACACACACGGTGATGACAGAAGCGAGTCGCCGAACACACTGGACCATCAGCCCCCAATCAACACCATCCATTCACTCTCTCATTTACATTCATACCTATTGTGCATGCTTTTAGTGGTAGGGGAAACCGGAGCACCCGGAGGAAACCTTTGGGGGGAACATGCAAACTCCATTCAGAAAGGCCCTGTTCCGACCGGGATTCGAACCCAGGATCCACTGAGCCACCGTGCCGCCGATACACATGGTTTTTAGATCCCCCTGCATCACTACTCCAAAACATTGTAAAGCACTTTGGGTGTCCGGCTCTGTGAAATGCGCTATATAAATAAATATTGCTTATTAACTAACAGAAATAAATGCATTTTCTAGTGATATTTTATTTTCTGAGTTTCATCTGTAAGCAATAATTCCTACCTTACTAATGATATAGACACAACTCATTTTTCTACCCTTTATCTTCTTGTATTCTGAATGGTGTAAACAGGCCTAAATTCAAACGGTGGTAAGAAATGGCTGGCACGTTGAGGCTGACCACAGTGTTGGTTTGGGGTCTCGTATTTCCAGACGGATACCCTCGCAACGAGATCATGTACCGGTGGCAGAAGCGTGCGGTGGAGGTGGCCGACCAGCGCTACTGGAGGCTCTACCAGTTCGCCTTTGTGGGACTGAGAAACACTACAGACGTGGCTCACACTCAGTCAGGTGAGCAGTCCTGGATGAGACCGGGAAGGAGAAGAGGACTTTGAATTGAGTATATGTTATCTCATTTTGGTGTGTAAATGTAATGTTACGAGTTTGGTGTCTCCAGGTGAATACGTCATCATGACCATCTTCTTCGACCTGAGCCGGAGGATGGGATACTTCACCATCCAGACCTACATCCCCTGCAGTATGATCGTGGTTCTGTCCTGGGTTTCCTTCTGGATCAACAAAGACGCAGTCCCCGCCCGTACCTCGCTGGGTCAGTCAAAGCACGTCCACTTTGTGCATTTGTGGAACTGGCCATACTTGCATGTGAAAGCCAGATCCTGTCAGACCTCAGAAGGTTCCACAGTGGGGTGGCTGCGGCTGTAATTTGCCAAATTGTTTACCCACATTGCCTGGAAGGAGTCTGGTGTGTTTGTGAATCGTTGGTGGTGGTCAGAGGGGCCGATGGCACATTCTGGTTGCCTCGCATCTGAAAGCGTAGTTTATTACCACAGTGTATGGAGTGAAAGAATAATGACATGTGAAGCATCTTTAAATGTCCTGAAAACAAAATATAACTGATGCATTATTATCATTATTATACTTGTGAAGGAGAGACACCACAAAAACAGGTGGTGACATTGTCAGAACCTTGTAAAGTCTGCCCTTAGCCAGAATTACTCCACACTATGTACTATTTCTATCTGTTTATCCCCATGTTTAGTCCTGACTGTGGGCACCAGCAGGAGGTCAGTCCCTGTGCTCCTCAGAGTCCAAGTTGGTTCATATGGCACTAACATTCACTTTGGAGCGAGGCCATGGAGAGACTCGAACACAAGCTTTAGGGTCTATTCCCTGAGCCAGATGAAGCCAGTGCAGAGACCGGGGAACTAAATGTTTTACCTCAAATGAAGAGGAACGATAGATGTATCTGGATTAGAATAAGAAAGGCTTTTACTCCCACAGAATTCTGAATGCAAATGTTACTCTGCACATATTAATGTTAAGTCCTCTTTGTGCAGGGTGAAAGTAACAAAGTGCTTGGTCCTTGTAATGGAGCTATATAGTGAGGGTTCAATCTGGGAGACTCTTCCACCGTCGAGCCATGTCCCACTTCCTCATTTCTGTCCAATCCTTTGATTTCCCACCAAACAGACCCCTGCACTGTCACCTGCCACTCAAACCTGTCACATCCCTCCCCCCCTCATCAGCCAGAGCCAATCATCTGTCTGCAGCCAGTTCAGAAGGAGCCTCTTTCACCACAGTCAGCTCTGTTGCTGCATGAAACCCACCTCTGCAGCATCATCTCCTGTCATCAACGCCAGTCCAGGCTCCACAGGGGGATCTGAGAATACTCTCTCTCTCCCATACACAGCATCCCTGTAGAGGCCAAAAGCGCCCATCAGTTATTTACTACACTCTAATAAACCAAATTAGATTGAGACTGGGGAATAATCAGGAATTGATCGTTTTTGTATTTAAATCTGGAGAGACTCAAAACAAAAGATGAATTCACTGGTTTCTTTTGGAGTTGTTCCTTGCCGAATCAGTCTAAGGAAAATGTTGATCCGGGACATTTCAATAATACATTTATTTTATAATGGTCTTTGCACTCCCTAGACCAATGTCACCTATGTGGTTGTTAATATTGTTTTTCCTTGGTTCAAACTGTTTAATTCTGTTGTTGGCGAATCATAAACTTGTAAAGTCCTCAACATATGACAGGCGGGATAGTGACCTCGGGAGATAGTCTTCCAGTCTGAATTTTCACTTCAGTTCTCTAAGTAGAACCATGTTGCCTCACAGAAAACTGAACTGCCCTCCAGCCCTTTCTACAGCGAGCACTCTTCTATGTCACGTGGATGCGACCATTCAACTCGGGTCACTTCATTTACAAAAGCCTCCTTTATGTCTGTGTCGTACCGCAGGCATCACCACGGTGCTCACCATGACCACACTCAGCACCATCTCCAGGAAGTCGCTGCCGAAGGTCTCGTACGTGACGGCCATGGACCTGTTTGTATCTGTGTGCTTCATCTTCACCTTCGCCGCGCTCATGGAGTACGGCACGCTGCACTACTTCACCAGCAACCGGCAGAACAAGAAGGCCAAAGCCAACAACGCCGCACAGGTGAGCCAGCTACAGGTGAGCCAGCTACAGGTGAGCCAGCTACAGGTGTCGTCCAGGGATAGATAAATAGATAAATAAGGAATCTTTTGATCCCCCATAGGAGAAATTCAGGTGTCCAGTAGCAGCAGAAACAAATCTAATCTTAAAAACAAAACAAATAATTACATAATTCTAAAAGTAGCTAACAATAGTAATACACAATATATAATAGATAGATATATAATTGTGTGGAGTTCTGTGACAAACAAAAAGAGTTGAAAAATTAGTTAAATATTGCTCAAATTTGGCAAAATGTATCTTAATTTGAGCACATTTGACTGCCTTAAAACAATATTTGCCAATTTGATAAGAACAAAAAAAAATACAAGAAATTTCTCCCTTGGAATGAGAAAAAAAAGTTCAGTTCTAAATTAAATAATACTAAACTTTGTCCCATTGGCAAATCTTGTTTTAAGTCAGAATGTACTCAAATTAAGATTCAAGCAATTATTATTTATTGTTTATTTAATATCTAATAAAGTCAACACAATTACAATCCAGATTTTGTAGCCAGAATCTTCCTCCTGTGTATGTGACGTTTTTATAAATTTTTTGCAGAAGCTTCCATCATAACCGTTAATACCAAAGAGACTACTATCAACATAAGACGACAAAAGTCAAAGTATCTCCAACATCCAACAACATTCATTTAGACTCGGAAAATAAATATGGAAATGATTTATTCTTTCCTTCATGGCCTGGTTTGAATGTCCCAGGGGGGTTGGGTGACCACTGTTATACAATATCTGCTCTGTCTGCGGCACACAGTGGGCACTCTTGCACAGTTATGCCAGTGTGGTTTTACTGCAAAGTGGCAAATAAACTGAATCTTGAATCCTGTGCAGAAGAGCTCCAGCCTGATGAACATCCGACCGGGAACGTCGCTGCTGCAGATGAACAACATCCTCCAGTACCACGAGGAGGACGACTTCGCCTACGACTGTCTGGACGGGAAGGACTGCGCCAGCTTCTTCTGCTGCTTCGACGACTGCCGCTCGGGCCGGTGGCGAGAGAACCGGATGCATGTGAGGGTGTCCAAGATAGATTCCTACGCCCGCATCTTCTTCCCCACCGCCTTCGGGCTTTTTAACCTGGTGTACTGGATCGGCTACTTGTATCTATAATGCGCACACACGCTAACAGCTTTTTGAGGATTGTAAAGTTCCGAGTTTAGGTAGGAGACAGGGTTTGAAAAATACTTAAAGCTGGGGCACGTACACAGTAAAAAAAATGGGTGTTGATATTTCAGAGTAAAGTTGTTTTAACCCGGAGTATTTTCAACATTATGGAGAGTTTTTTTAATCTTAATTTGAGTACATTCTGACTGTCTTAAAACAAGATTTGCCAAAGGGACAAAGATATTTAGACTTATTTCAAGCAGACTGTTGCATTTTTTCTCATTCCAAAGAGAGACATTTATTGTATCTTTTTAATATTGAATAGAATGAACTCGAAAAATTTGACACTGAATTTTGACTCTAAAATCTAAAACGAAATCTAGTTTTAAACTGATTTCAAGTTGGACCCAATATGATCTGGAACAGAGATAAATGAATCTCTATCGGAGTCACATTAACACTTCTGATTTTACTGTGTACGTTTTTTGTTTCATAAATAACACTGAGCTGTTTGTCCCGAGAGAAATAGTCAAGTAAAAGAGAGATGTTGTAAACGAATCAGACCACAGGCTGCTGTCTGCATCTTACTCAAACATGTTTTCTGCTCATGTATTGGATTGTTCTTTTTTTTTTTTTTATCTGGGGACAACTCACTGTAAACATTAGTCTGATAAAAAGCAAATATGTCGTCTTGTGCAGGTTTTAGCAAAGGACGCTCTAGTTTCTGCCCGTGGTCCGTGGAGGTTGGTGATAGAATTACAGTCAGACATTGAGGAATTGAGGGTCATTTTGCAATAACAGTTTTCAGCCTTACCTAATTTCAACTAACAAACACGCACACGCACACGCACACACACACACACACACAGTTAGTCGCTTTTTGACGATTTGAGCTGAGAGCTAGCTGAAAGTGGTCCTCTCTTTTCAATTTTTCTGTCCGACCAAAAATACATGCATGTGAAAAACAGTGACAGAAGCAAATAAGACAGACGTTATTACTTTAAAGCTTGGTTACCTGACTTTCAAAAGAATTTCACCAAAACATGTCTATATATAATTAGTTCTAGGCTCTAATGCAGGTGTAAAACGGTTCTATCTATGTATTTTTGGCCTCTTTCACATCTTTAGATTATAATTTTAGACAGAAATGTGGAAAAACGGATGACTCCCTTACTCAGCCAATCAGCTCTCAGCCTAAATAGTCAAACAGTGACTCACAGGGCTCTTTCTAACTAGCTAACACGAGGGAGACAGCATGTCGTGGTCTGATTTGTTGACAACATTTTACTTCTACAATACTCTTTCTGTTAGACAAACTACAGTTTTTTTTAATGATGGAAATAGTTACGTACCCCAGCTTTAGAGTAAACGTTTTATTAGAATCTGTATTATAAAAGAAACTTGTATAAAAAAAATATCGAAAGAAAATATTTAATATGTTATTTTACACTGAATATTCCCTTAACAGAAAATAACAACACATTTGTTTTGATACTCTATGACAAAAGAAAGGAAACTTATTGAAATGATTGATTTGATAATTGTTGTTAGTCACATGTCTGGTCTTTTTCATGCGGGTTGTAAACAAAATAATCAGGTTTTTATCCCATTCCTCCTCTCAAACTGTACATATATTCTAGATTTTAAGATGAAGAAGATGTATTATGAAATTGTTTGTGCTTTTAAACATGTTACAGCATTGTTCTAATCAATAATTGCTTTTAGATCCACCCAAGCTAATATCAAGAACTTCTGGCACAAACATGTAACTCCGCCCCTTCTGTCTTAAAGCTCCTGTCTCTCACTTTGAAATTTCAACTCCGAAAAATAAAAATGAAGGCTACTCAAGGAAATTCAGAGCAGTTTTGTGTCTTTTAAAACAAAAGTATTGCCTAAAAATTGTGGACATTACATTCATTATTTGCAATCCCATGCCAGTGGTTTTAGTTGGGAAATTTCAAATTAGCTCAAAAAGATGAAAAAAAAAAGTATACACCTCCCTCTAGTGGAAGCGTGGAGATAGGGCAGGCATAATTTTTTTACCCTTGATACTTCACATTCTAAAACAAGACATGACAAAGTACAAAGACTCTTAATGATTTTTAATGAGCCAAAATAATGCATAATATGTCTTCTTTAAGCTGCCAATAGTTAGCAGGTTCAAATTGAATGCTATTGTTGAGGCTAGACTTTAGCTTCTGGAGTTATGTCCTGCTATAAAAAACATTAAATGAAGCAGATTTTTAGATTTTTCAGTGATATCAAATGTTTTAACCCTATTTTCAGCGGGCATTGGATTTACACCAAAGAATCCATGTGTATTTTGTGCATGTTACAAAAATGTCCAGCTGTTTCTCACCTCTTCTTCAAGGGACTTAATGGTCAGACGAGACGGCCGCAAATGATACAAAAGCCTGAACTATCTATGCAAGCATTGGCATTGAGATATACACTAAGTACATCCTTGTATATAGTAAAACCTACGTGTTAGAAGTACCAGCTAGAGACCTTTGGATTCCCCCGCCGTTCATTTGTGAAATTATGTACTCAAATTCAAAATATATGAATAGATCTAGGATTGAAATTGAAATCATTTTACTGAACAGGCTTTTTGCCCTTCATCCAATGTGTTTTTCATGAAGTAGTCTTAACCGTGCTCGTCGCATGCGTGCTCCACAAATCATGAAAAATTGTCTATTGTTTCTTTTTGATTTGAATCTTCAATATTGAGCCATCACTTTTATATAAGTATATATATATAGTGCCTGTTAATGGGCAGATCTCAGAGCAGCGAATCAACATAGGCCTACTGTATGTAGCATAGACATAGACAGCTTCTACGCTTCTGGTGGTTATTGGCGACAAAACAGGATAACCCAACAAGTGCAATTATATTTCTGTTGTAGCATTTGATTCTTTTCAAATAACTTTGTTTTTCATCTGCTTTTGATTGTGTATTTTGGACTGTTCTGGCTAAAATTTCTCTATGATGCAGGTATCTTTTGGACTGGGGCCCCATACCTGTCTCTCCCCCATGCAGCACCTCCATGTTACCGTGACATTTCTGTATTGTGTCTATCTTGTAATTTGTGTGTAAGAATAGCTACAGCCATTTGCACCATTTTTGTGCTTCTGATTTAACACAGTGAGGAAATAAAGCAGCAAGAAGTCCAGTCACTGAGTTTTTGTGTGTATGAGAGTACTTAAGTGAGGACCGTTATGTTGATCCACCGTGTCCGCTTAGAAGAGGTTCCCAGGTAATGCTTTGAGGTGTCACATGAGTGGTGTTAATATAAGAGTTAAGCAAAAGACAAACAGCCACATAAGACACACATTCTCCCAAACGTCCAATTCCTCTGATAGTGCTAACCTCCACTAGTGCTTACAAGTGATACTAGTTTAGAAATACATTGTAAAGGTATTCATGCAAATATCCAAATACATTCACCCAGTGTGCTCCAAAGGCAGTTGATTCAGCGTCTGAGTGGGATGCAGTTATGTGCTCTGGCCACCAAGTGGCGCCACGGATTAAGGAAACGGGCTGCAGTGATGGTCACGGGCAAAAGCAACAGAGAAGTCCAATGACAAGTCACTGTGTTCACCTTGTTCCTTTCCTTTTTTCTGATTTCTTTATTACTAAAGACCAGGGTCAGGGTTGGCTGGGGCCAGGATCAGGGCCAGTGGCGTGTTCAGGGAAAAGAGATGATTCATACTCACACAAACATTTGCTCTTTCACTCAGAAGCATTTCACAAACATTCAATGCTCCTGGGGCTTTTCGATGATTCTCCAAAAAGATATGAAGTTTGAATCCAAATACTGCAACATCAAGGAGCACGGTTTACTTCTCTATTCCCTGTTTGAAAAGACATGCTTTAATGCAGTAGATTTACAGTAAATAATCCCATGCAAGCTCACACACACACACACACACACACACACACACACACACACACACCACACACGAGAGATACTACTTTATGTTGAGGCCATTTTCAAAAAGGCTCTAAAATACATCAAAACTCATGTTCTATTTATTTATTTTGACAGTTTCTGAATCAATCTTCATTAAAACCAATATCATTTTTTCAAAGTCAAGCAGGGATCTCTAAACATGTCAAATCAGCAGCTGCAGAAACTAAATGATTATCTCACAATGTCAATGACTTGTTTCAAACATAGACTGTATATATTAATGGACAGAGTCACGCCTATCTCCACTGTTCTAACTAATGGGCCAAAAAATGTGCTCTACTGGAGCAATCCAAAATAGCCGCGAGTGGTCCCGCCCACAAGAAAATTGTGAAAAAATGCATCTGCGCATGCGTCAGCCGGCGCAGCTCCATTCATTTGAACGAGAGACTTAAAAAATTCACAGCAAGTAAAGTGGACCAAAAAAATCCACCCCCCTCAGCATTGACACACATGAGCTTTGGGCCAAGAGCCGCTTTTGGTCCATCCTGTAAAGACGTTTTTGAGAGGACCCAGAAGTAGAATTAGCCGGTCCACCCCCATCGGCCCGGGGTGGTATTGCAAGCATGTCAGCGCACGTCATTTTGGCCACTTTTGAGCCGAAACCCGCCCCCACTGGTTTCAAATTACAACTATTTACCTTTGACATGATCTTGTTGATATTTAAGGGGAAACACATTACAAGGTGGTTAAATGGTAAATTAAAAACATGACCTACAGAATCCTTACACGAGTATGATACTATGAGCACATCACCCCAGTTCAGTGTTCGCTTGACTGGCGCAGTTTATTCACAAATCACATTCAAAAATATCTTCAGTGTTCAATTCATATCAAATCACAAGAGTCTGTTGGAGGACCTGCAGAGGGAGAAAATGCAGAGGAGTGAGGTGGAGCAAACTCATTTTGAAGACCCCCGCCAACTGCAGGAGCAAGTGACCCAGCTCCAGACAGAGATCTGCGTTGGAGACTGCCCTACTGCAGTCAGAAAAGAGCACTACATCGATCCAAATCAAACTGGATTCTTCCATCCAG